CCCAAAACACTAGACCATAAACCCTAAATACCTAACCCTAAACCCTAAACCCTAAGCATGGAAACCAAAAACTTAAATCATAAACCATAACACCAAAATTATAAAACCTAAATCCATAGACCCTAAACATTAAACTCTAAACCCTAAAGCCCTTAACCATAAACTCTAAGCCCTAAACCATAAACCATAAACCATACACCATAAACCCTATACCCTAAACCCTAAAATCTAAACTTAAACCCTAAACCTAATCGTAAACCCTAAATCTGAAACCCTAAACATTGCACCCTAAAACCTAAATACTAAACCCTAAACCTAAACCCTAAACCCTAAATCCTAAATTCTAAACCCTTAACTATAAACCCTAAAGCCTATCTCCTAACCCCTAACCCCAAAACCGTAAACCCCTTAACCCACAACCCTAAACTCTAAACCTTAAAATCTAAACCCTGAATCCTAAACCCAAAACCCTAAACATGAACCCTAAATTCTAAACTCTAAACCCTAAACCCTAAACCCTAAACTCTATACCCTATATCCTAAACCCTAAACACAAAACAATAAACCATTAACCCTAAACCATAACCTCTAAACCCTAAACCCTAAACCCTAACCCTAAACCATTAATCCTAAACCCAAAACCGAAACCTAAAACTAAAACCCTAAACCCAAAATTTTGAACTCTAAACCCTATATATTAAACCCTAAGCCCTAAACTCTAACCCTTAACCCTTGACCCTAAACCGTAAACCCTAGATCCTAAACCCTAACCCCTAATCATAAAGGCTAAACCCTAAATCCTATACCCTAAACTTGTAACCCAAAACCTTAAATCGTAAACCATAAGACCTAAACACTAAACCCTAAATTCTAAACCCTAAACGCTAAACCCCTTAACCATAAACCTTAAGCCCTAAACCCTAAATCATAAACCTTAAACCCTAAACCCTAAACTCTAAACCTAAACTCTAACCCTAAAGCCAAAACCCTAGACCCTAAACCCTAAACGCCTAACCCTAAAGCCCTAACCCTAAAGGCTAAACCCTAAACTTAGAACCCAAAAACTTAAATCATAAACCATAAAACCTAAACTATATAATCTAAATTCGTAGACCCTAAACCCTAAAGCCCTTCACCATAAACCCTAAGCCCTAAACCGTCAACCATAAACCCTAAACCCTACACCCCATCGCTTCCCTATTTTCCAATTTTTTTCTCTCTCTAAATATATCTCTCTAAACTGAACACTCTCAAATCTGAGCCTAACGGCTACTATTCCAACGGCTACAGGAATTGCCGGAATGGCACGTGAGCCGCCGGTAGGCATCCCCAGGCCGCCGGAACAGTCCAAAAAGGGGCGCCTTGAACAGACGAACAAAACCCATCAAGACTCGCCATCTAATTCATCGTACAGCTCTACGAATTCGCGAAACAATGAAGCGGTGCTCGTCGCGATTTCAGAAAGGGAACTGGACGGGATTCAAAAACTTAATTCCCCAGATCGGGATATGGTGATTCATGGAAAGCTGTTTAGTGGGAATGATTCTAATAATCAAGGACTACAACATACTGAAATATCAAGTTATTCCATCTTGCCAATCGCGCGAACTGAGGAGGCGATTTCTGGAAAAATCGCCGAACCTTCGTCTGAAATACGCCCTCAATTTCGACCAACTTCTCAGCAAGTTCATGGCGAGTTGAGCACTGGGGATTACTCATCTGGTGAAGGAGTTCATCTCCCAGGAATTTCAAGTGAAATGGACGGTCTAATCGCCGGCGGTGAGAATTCCGGTGATGGAGCTGTCGAAAAATCGAAAACTGATAGCGACGCCGGTAAAAGGATCAACTCCACAGATGAAGAGTACCAACCTATCAACTTAGCTATGGATTTAACTCAAAAACACACTCAAAAGGAAATTCCTTCAAGTTTTTTTAGTGCTAATACAAATCATCAACTTGAACTTGAAGAACTCCTACAAGAACCTGAAGCAGAACAACAGGGAGCCGATAATCATACTGATCATACGGGTCAGAAGCAAAACCAACACACAGTTGAGGAACAACATATGAAAATGCAATCGAAACAAGTAGAAAAAGGAAGTATGCAAGACCAAAATAATCAACACGGTAGTACAGGGCATACAATTCTGAATGTGATCGATGTGGAGGATGAACCACACTTCTCCTTTGGAGTCCAACCAACGGATACAATTCCAACCAAGGAAGGACAACATAAGTCAGGTAAGAATGTCAATTCTAATAATGAACTTAGTTATGTTCAATTGCAGGACCAGCAGGCAGAGAACACCAAGTGACAAAGTAAAGATCAAAGTGCTGATGACAGCCAAACAGGTAAGTCTACTAAGCCTAACTCTAGTCGAATTGTTGTTAGTTTGAGTAGTAGTGAGGAACAGGTACAGGGTAATGTGAAGGGGCAAAAAGCTGTTATCCTGAATGATCAGGTACAGGGCAGGGAGGAAAATAGTTCCCAACAACAGGTTGATCGAGATCAAAATAGTGAGAACAACACGAGTCAAACTCAACCGATTACCCATCGAGGGAATTCTGGTCCCAATGAGTACCAAAAGGCCTTCCCCAAAATTTCGAGTAACTTTGATAAACATACCCTCCCCAATCAGGAAAGTCAGCAAATAAAACACCCCACTCAAATCAAAAGTGCTAACCATACTAATGAGACTCAAACCATCACTCGAGACCAAACCATAGAACCTGCACCCTATACAGTAGTTCAAACATTAGCAGCAAGACTAAGACAAATTCATGCTACTCAAGCAACCTCCATTGAACTTGTTCCACCCAAGCACACTACCAAACAGGGCCAACCGGCAGTGATATTCGATATGGAGGACTACATGACCAAATATGCGGTGGATTGTAAATACACCTTGATAGGTAAATTTAGTACCACCATGCCTAAAGTAGAACTTATCAGGAAAAGCTTTATCATGCAGACCCAATTGAATGGGGGGGTCAACATAGCTCATTATAATGCAAGACATGTTTTTATTGATTTGGAGAATGAACTTGATTATAACACAGTGTGGACACAACAAAGAATGACCATTGAGGGCAAACTTATGAGAATACAAACTTGGACTCCCAATTTTAGACCTGAAGAAGAAACTCCTATTGTTCCTATATGGGTACTGATGCCAGGATTACCTTGGCATTGCTTTAAGAAGGAGTTTATTACACCTCTGTTAGAATCTGTGGGCAAAGTTCTGTATTTAGACACAGCATCCATTAAAAGAACTAGAGCTAGTATGGCCAAGGTAAAGGTCCAAGTGGATCTTACCAAGACTAGACCTAGACATGTTTGGATTGGTTTGGATGATGATGACCTCACTATAGAGAGATGGCAATCTATTGAATATGAAAATATCCCTCCCTACTGTGCGTACTGCAGACATCAGGGCCACACGATAGATGATTGTAACTTTAAAACAAGGGATGAGGAGTTCAAAAGAAGGAAGGAGTTAGAAAGAGAAAAGAAAAACATAAGTAAAAATGAACAGGAACAACAAGGAAAAGAGAACAGACAAAACAAGACACAGACACAGGAGGAGCAACAACAACAAAATAAAAAGGCAGAGACCAATCATCAACAACCTGAGCAGCAGAAAGAGGAAGAATGGCAAGTACAAAGAAGGAAACACAATAAACCACAGGAAGAAAGAGTTCAGCGAACAATGTGGAGACCTACTTCACCACAGAACAGACTGACAAAGGAGCAATCAAAGGACACAGCTCACCAAACAGGTACATCTAACAACTCTAATCATAATTCATTTACTAACCTCAGCATGCAGGAAAAACAAAATGCAGACATGCAGGAGCCTAACAGTGAAGCAGAGACACCAACACAGGGAGTACAGAACAGGCCTAAAGCAGACCATAACCAAAAAACACAGGCCATGCAAACAAGAAACAAAACTAATATCAAGACCACAGGTATTGACTCAATGCTCCCAATTGCCATACACCCCATGTCAGGAGATACACAATAACATGCAGGAAGGGGTGTCCAAAGGGGGATTTTGCCTCATGTTCTGCATGAGGGTACACACATTGACCATAGCTCGGACCTTAGAACTCCTGCTACCACTAAAGGCCAACATCACAGTCCAAGGCTTCAACAGGTGCAGCAACAAGGACAAACGGGGGACGAGAATCAAATTACTACAAAAAATGATAGGGACAAACAGCAAACAGAGGTAAGAACTGCAGGTACACAAAATAAGGGATCTATGGCAAAGGATATGGGAGCCAAAGCAAGTACGAGTAAACAACTAAATACTCCCAAAAGCAAGAATAAACCTAGCAATAAAAGGAGAGAAGCCGAGAAAAAGAAGCAAAAACAGCAACAGGATAGGGACCAACAGGGGGAACAACTGAATGAGGAGATCTGTAAGAAATTTATTATGGTAGATGAACATCTGGGCATGGATATTACTCCTCTACAAACCCAATATATGATCCCCCCTCCTAATATTCCCCCTGACAAAAGGGCAGAACAGTGTCGACTTAACAAAGGTCCTTTTTTTGATGAATATGCTGTAAATAATTCTGAAGATGACTTAGATGTGGATAATCAGTCCCTCAAGGACCCTGATGAGGATGACGAGACTAGTGAACTCCTTATTAGAGCATTTAGTCCTCGTCCTGAGAAAGGCCTTGGAGATGAGATTCAACAGGTTACTAATGAACAGGGACTATCTCCCAGAGGAGTACATCATGATATTCCATTTCAGAACTCAGGACATTAACACTGTCACTGCTGGCAGACCAAATACTAGGCTTTTCACTTCCAAATCATCTTAATGATTAGTATTCTTATATGGAATGTGAGGGGGATCAACACCCAAGGTGTTTTGGAAAGACTCAAAATGCTAAAGAAGATGCAACATCTCTCTATTATTGCTATCCTAGAACCTTTTTCAGACATTACACATGTTCATAACTTTAAAAATCATTTAGCTATGGATCATGCGGTGAGTAATTGCAATGGCAAAATTTGGCTTTTTTGGAATATGGACATTGATTGTGTTGTACTAGAGGAGGATGAACAACAAATTACTTGTAATATCGTTCATAATGAACTTCAGACTCACTTTACCACCACCTTTGTGTATGCCAAGTGTAAGGACCATCTCAGAAGGCCGCTGTGGGATAGAATGTTGCATCACTCTGCTGAAAATACCAATCCATGGTGTTCCGTAGGTGATTACAATGTCATTACTTCCATTGATGAAAAAATGGGAGGGGTACCTTACAACATAAGGAAAAGCCTTGAATTCATTGCAGTGATTGAAGCATGTGGCCTCGTGGATTTAGGTTTCAGTGGTCAGAAATTTACTTGGTATAATAAAAGGGGTATACATCACAGAATCTGGAAGAGACTGGACAGAGCTCTGGTTAATGATGCTTGGCTGGAAAAAATGCCTCAGACTACCATCAGTAGGATCAGACCACTGTCCTTTATTGCTGGAAATGACTGCTAGGGAAGAGGAGGACATCAGGTACTTTAAATTTCTCAACTGCTGGGCTGATCAACCCAAGTTCCTTGATATAGTTAAAGCCTGCTGGGACAGGACGGTAGAGGGTAACAGCATGTGGAGATTTCACCAGAAATTGAAAAGGTTGTCCAACACTCTTAGTTCTTGGTCCAGAGGGGAATTTGGGGATATTTTCATTAGGGTCAAGGAGTATGAGGAGAAAGTCAGGATTGCTGAAGAGAATCTTATTCATAATCAAACTGAAGACAGCAGGACAACCCTTCATGAGCTCAATGCAAATTACATTAGATTTTTGAAAATGGAAGATTCCATTCTGAAACAAAAAACTCAACTACAATGGTTCAAAGAGGGAGACGCTAACACTAAATATTTCCATTCTCTGATAAGAGGAAGGAGAAGAAGATTGTTCATTCATAAACTTCACAGAGAGGATGGAGAATGGATACAAGGAGATGTCAACATTGCAGAGGCTGCTTGTGTCCATTTCCAAAATATTTTTACAGGAGAGGACAAATTTATCAATGAGAATGCTATCAACTGTGTACCCCGGATGGTCAATCAGGAACAAAATAACAGCCTTACTGTCATGCCTAAAATGGATGAGCTGAAGGAAGTGGTTTTCTCTATGAATCCTAATTCTACAGCTGGTCCTGATGGAATGAATGGCTATTTTCTCCAGAAATGTTGGCATATTATCAAGCATGATCTCCTGGGGGTAATTCAAGCTTTCTTCTGTGGCCAAATGATTCCTAAATATTTTTCTCATTCTTGCATTGTTCTCCTCCCTAAGGTGAACAATCCAAACAAACTCTCTGAATTCAGGCCCATAAGTTTAAGCAATTTCACTAGCAAGATCATCTCTAAACTGGTGAGCTCTAGACTTGGTCCTATTTTACCTAATTTGGTTTCACTCAATCAGTCTGGATTTGTCAAAGGGAGAAGTATCTCAGAAAACATTATGCTGGCACAAGAAATTATTCATCAGATTAAGAAGCCTAATATTGGGAGCAATGTTATCATTAAATTGGATATGGCTAAAGCGTATGATAGAGTTTCTTGGTCCTATATATGCTTAGTATTAAGAAAAATGGGATTTGATGAGGTCTTTATTGATATAGTTTGGAGAATAATGGCTAACAATTGGTATTCTATTATTGTCAATGGCAAAAGACATGGTTTCTTCCAATCCACTAGAGGTCTCAAGCAAGGTGATCCTTTATCTCCTGCCCTATTTATTTTAGGTGCAGAAGTCCTTTCTCGATCCTTGAACAACCTCCATAACAACCCGGACTATCATGGCTTCTTCATGGACCTAAGAGGACCCCAAGTGAATCACTTGAGTTTTGCTGATGATATTATTCTGTTCACTTCTGGTAGACAGAGAACACTGAAGCTAATTATGCAAACACTGAGCTCTTATGAGGAAACTTCAGGACAGCTAGTTAACACAGACAAGAGCCATTTTATGGTCCACTCCAATGCTTTCAACAGCACAAGAGACAGAATTAAAAGAATCAATGGTTTCAAGCAAAAGGAGGGCCCTATTACCTACCTTGGTTGCCCCCTATTTGTTGGTAGACCTAGGATTACTTATTTTTCTGATCTTATTAATAAAGTGTTATGCAGAATCACAGGTTGGCAAACAAAGCTATTGAGCTATGGAGGTAAAGCAATACTAGTCAAGAATGTGCTGCAGTCACTGCCTATTCATCTACTATCAGCAGTGACCCCTCCAGTTACGGTCCTCAAGCAGATCCAAAGTATCATGGCTGACTTTTTCTGGGGAATGAAGAATGAAAGGAAAAAATACCATTGGGCGTCATGGAAGAATTTAAGCTTTCCTTATGATGAGGGAGGTATTGGTATGAGGAACCTCAAGGATGTTTGTATGGCTTTCCAATATAAACAATGGTGGATTTTCAGATCGAAACACACTCTTTGGGGGGATTTTTTGAAAGCTAAATATTGTCAAAGGTCCAATCCTATTAGTAAGAAATGGGATACGGGGGAGTCTCTAACATGGAAACACCTTATGCACAACAAACATAAAGCTGAACAGCACATTCAATGGAGAATCAACTCGGGCAATTGTTCTTTTTGGTGGGATAATTGGCTTGGCGTTGGCCCTCTTGCCCAGTTCTCGAATGACAGTAAGAGGTTCAACAATACTACTGTGGCAGAATTTTGGCATGAGGGACAATGGAATTGGAATTTGCTCTTGCAACAGTCCCCTAACAATCAACTAGCCAACATCTTATCCACAGAACTTCACATTCAACAGGACCTCCCAGATCAGGCTATTTGGAAATTGAGCACGGATGGAAAATTCAACTGCTCATCGGCATGGAATGAAATCAGGGAGAAGAAGACTAAGAATAAGTTTAACTCTTTCATTTGGCATAAGTGTATTCCTTTTAAATCTTCTTTTCTTTTGTGGAGAATTTTAAGAGGTAAAATCCCTACTAATGAAAAACTTAACAGTTTTGGCAGTGAGCCAGTCGCGTGTTTTTGCTGTTGTAACAGGCCTGGTCTAGATACCATAGAGCACACCTTCAACAATGGACAATTTGCTACTTATGTGTGGAGAAGGTTTGCTGAAACTACTGGAATTACTACAGATCACAGCTCCCTGCCTCAACTCATCACGCAATGGTGGTCAGCCAAATACAATAACGAAGCACACAGGCTGTTACTACAAGCTACACCAATATTTATTTGTTGGAATCTTTGGAAGAATAGATGTGCTAACAAATATGGAGGCAAGCAATCCAATGCCAGCAGAGTCAAATACGCAATTTATAAGGACAACTACAAGCTCATGACAACCAATTTCCCTCAAATCAAATGGCCCTCAAACTGGAGGGAACTGATCCAACTAGGGGAAAAATGCATTCATGATACCAAAGTAACCCCTGTCAAGTGGATAAAACCTCCAGAACAATGGATAAAAATCAACACGGATGGCAGTGCACTAAGTAATCCCGGCAGAATTGGAGCAGGAGGCATCTTAAGAGATCAAACTGGAGAGATGGTCCTAGCATTTGCCACTCCCTTGGGGGAAGGTAATAACAATCAGGCTGAAGCAGAAGCAGCCATCTTCGAGATGACCTGGGCCTTAGAATTAGGATACAGAAAACTCATTTTGGAGGTGGATTCACAGCTTCTAGTGGATTGGATAATGCACAAAGCCAACCCTCATTGGAGTATTAACATACAGGTAATGAAATTACAGGCCCTCATCGAACAAACACAAGAATTTGCATGCAAGCACGCCTTAAGAGAAGCCAACTTTGTCGCTGATTCTCTTTCAAAACATAGCCACAAGGTTACCACTCCGGAACTATACTTCAACATTCATCAACTACCAAAAGAAGCAAGAGGATTTTATCGCCTAGATATGATTTAAATGGCAAGTTTCAGAAGAAGGAAAATCAAAAGGATCAAAGAACCACCTTGAGTTATCTTCGAACTTCCTCAACCTAGCTATGGTAGAAAATCATAGCTCTTTTGAATAGGTATAGTTTTTTCATTTGTAAAGGGAGAGTCTCCCTTATTTACGTTTCCTAGATGCTTTGTATCGAGAGGAGTCCTCTCTTAGGTGCTTAGTTTCTTGGTCTATCTCTTTTGTACGGTGAAGAGTTGATTAACCTTAGGTAAGTCAACTACTGAACCACCATAGGATCGGAGGTTAGGTTTATGTCCCCCTCCTTGTATTTTTGCTTTATTTATGCTAAGGCCTGGGGGTGTTGCTAAGCCCCTGACCCCTCCAAGGGTCGTTAAGATAAAAAATAAAAAAAATAAAAAAAAACCCTACACCCTAAACCTTAAACTCTAACCCTAAATCCTCAACCTAACCCTAAAACCTAAACCCAAAACCTGAAACACTAAATATTGCACCCTAAACCCTAAACCCTAACCCTAAACCATTAGTCCTAAACCCTAAACCCTAAACTCTAAACCCTAAACTTTAAACCCTAAACTTTAAACCCTGAACCATAAACCCTAAACCCTAGCCCCTAAACCCTAAACTCCTTAACACAAAACCCAAAACTCTAAACCTTAAAATCTAACCCGGAACCCTAAACTTGGAACCCTTAATCCTGAACTCTAAACCCTAAAACCTAAACCCTAACCCCTAAACTGTAAACCCTAAACCCTACACCTAAAACACTAAACCCTAAACCCTAAACCCTAAACCCTAATCCTAAATTCTACCCTAAACCCTAAACCCTGGACCCTAAATCCTAAAATCTAAACCGTAAACCCATAACCCTAATAACTAAGTAATAAACCCTAAACCTTAAGCCCTAAAGCCTAAATACTTAACGTAAACCAATAATCCTACACCCAAAATATAAACCCTAAACCATAAACCTAAAACCCTAAATCCTAAACACTTATCCCTAAATCTAAACACTAAACCCTAAAACCTAAATCCAAAACTCTAAACCATACACTGTAAACCCAAACCCTAAATACTAAATGCTAAACAATAAACCCTAACCCTAAACCCTAAATCCTAAACTCTAAACTTTAAACACTAAATCGTAAACCATACACTGTATATCTTAAACCCTAAACCATTAATCTTAAACTTTAACTCTTAAGCCCTAAACCCTAAACCCTAAACTCTAACCCTAAACCTTAAACCCTAGACACTAAACTCTAAAACCTTAACACTACAGCCAAAACCCTAAATCATAAACCTTAAACTTAAAACCCATAACTTTACACCATAAACCGTAAAACCTAAACTCTAAACCCTAAAACCCTAAAACCCTAGACCCTAACCCTAAACTTTAAACCCAAAACCCTAAACCCCTTAACCATAAGCACTAAGACTTAAACCCTAAACCCTAAAATGTAAACTCTAACCCTAAACCCTAAACTTTGCACCTTAAACGCAAATCTCAAAACCCTAAACCCTAAACCCTAACCCAAAAATCCTTAACTTGGAACCATAATTCGTAAACTATAAACCCTAAATCCTAAACCCTACAACCCTACACCCAAAACCCTAAAACCTAAATCCTAAACCCCTAACGAAAATCCTTAAACTTGGAACCCAAATTCCTAACCCTAAACCATTAACCAAAAACCCTAAACTATAAACATTAAACCCTAAACACTAAACCTTAAACTCTAAACACTTTATCGTAAACCCAAAACCCTAAACTGTAAATGCTAAACCCTAAACCCTAAAACCTAAATCCTAATTCTTAAAGCATCACCGTAAACCCTAAACCCTAACCCTAAACCTTAAACCCTAAATCCTAATTCCTAAACCGTCACCCTAACCCCTAAACCCTAAACCCTAACCCTAAACCCTAAACCCTAACCCTTAACCCTACACCCTAAATCCTAAACTCTAAACCCTACACCCTAAACCCTAAATCCTAAACCCAAATCCCAAACCCTCGACCCTAAAACTAACCCTAAACCCTAAACTTCGCACCCTAAACACTAAATCCTAAACACTAAACCCTAACCCTAAAGCATTAATCATAAACCCTAAACCAAAACCTTATACCCTAAACCCTAAACATGCAACCAAATACCCTAAACCAAAACCTTAAACCATTACTCCTAAAACCTAAACCAAAACCCTAAATCCTAAACCCTAAACCTTAAACCCTAAATACTAAATCCAAAACCCAAAACCATAAAACCTAAACCATTAATCCTTAACCCTAAACCGTAACTCTAAACCCTAAACCCTACACCTAAAACACTAAACCCTAAACCCTAATCCTAAAGTCTACCATAAACCCTAAACCCTGAACCTTAAATCCTAAAATCTAAACTATAAACCCTTAACCCTAATAACTAAGTCATAAACCCTAAATCCTAAATACTTAACGTAAACCAATAATCCTACACCCAAAACATAAACCCTAAACTTCACACCCTAAACACTAAATCCTAAACACTAAACCCTAACCCTAAACCATTAATCATAAACCCTAAACCTAAACCTTATAACCTAAACCCTAAACATGCAACCAAATAACCTAAACCTTAAACCCAAAAACCTAAACACTAACCCCTAACCTTAAACCATTAATCCTAAACCCTAAACCAAAACCCTAAATCCTCAACCCTAAACTTCGAACCCTAAACCTTAAACCCTAAATATTAAATCCAAAACGCTAAACCTTAAACCCTAAATCCTAAAACCTAAACCCTAACACTAAACCATTAATCCTTAACCCTAAACCGAAACTCTAAACCCTAAACTCTAAACCCTGAAGCCTAAACACTAAACCCTAAACTCTAAATCCCAAACTCTAAAAGCTAAATCCTAAACCCTAAGCCGTAAACCCATAAACCCTAAACCCTTAACATTAAAAGGAAAACCTAGACCCTAAATCCTAAACATGGAACCCTAAACCTTAAACCATACACCATATAACCTAAATCCTAAACTTGGAACTCAAAACCTTAAACCATAGACCCTAAACCCTAAACGCTAAACCCAAAACCATTAACCCTAAATGATAAGCTCTAAACCCTAAACACTAATGAAATGACCCAAAAAGTTCTTAAAAATGTGCTTCGGAAGTTACCAAAAACTTGTTTAGCTATATATATATTTAAAAAAATCCATTTCGTTTTTCAAAAATCCGACTTCATATTCTTGTTTAGGGGGTCAAATTGAGTGGGAAATGGGTCTAACCCAAATTTTAGAGCAACCGTATCAAAATCTGAAATTTCCAAGTGAAGCCTTTTTCGAGGGTCTACTTTGGAGGGTCATATCTCCTAGCACACAAATTATTGGGTGGCCAATAACATATCAATGGAAAGCCCTTTGAGTTAGCTACCTAACGCACTTCGTTTCACCTCATTTGGAGTTTGGACGAAGAAGTTATGCCCATTTTCGTAAAATCTGTCCGGCAGGAAAGGCAATTTCCAGTGAGCGTTTTTACTGTTCACCCTTTTTTTTTTTCTAAGTGTTGGACCATTTTTCCTAAGGGTATATATTATTTCCTATATACCATTAGTTCAATTCTCATCTCTAAAACATTTCCCAAAACACCTCTCCCATACTTAGACACATTTTCTCTCAAGTTCTCTCAAAAACCCTTGGAAATCAGAGGTCCCCAAATGAATCGTTTGAGCTTTGCAGATGATATCACTCTCTTCACTTCTGGACGACCGAAAACACTGAAGCTCACCATGAAGACTCTGAATTCATATGAGGAGACCTCAGGCCAGCTTGTTAACACAGAAAAAAGTCATTTTATGGTTCACTCTTGTCCCTTCAATAGTACAAGAGACAGAATTAAGAGAATCACTGGTTTCAAACAGAATGAGGGCCATATCACTTACCTTGGCTGTCCTTTATTTGTTGGTAGACCTAGGATCATTTATTTTTCAGATCTAATTAACAAATTTTTATGCAGGATCACAGGTTGGCAAACTCGATTATTAAGCTATGGTGGTAGAGCAATATTGGTCAAGCATGTGTTGCAATCTTTACCTATTCACCTTCTGTCAGCAGTGACTCCTCCAGTTAGTGTCCTCAAGCAGATACAAAGCATCATGGCTGACTTTTTCTGGGGGTGGAGGAACGAGACGAAAAAAATATCATTGGGCGTCATGGAAGAATTTAAGTTTTCCATATGATGAGGGGGGTGTGGGAATGAGGAATCTTAAAGATGACTGCATGGCCTTTCAATATAAACAATGGTGGATTTTTGGATCCAAACAAACACTTTGGGGAGATTTTTTGAGAGCTAAATATTGTAAAAGGTCCAATCCTATTAGTAAAAAATGGGATACAGGTGAATCTCGGACTTGGAAATATCTTATGCATAACAAACACAAAGTAGAAGCACACATTCAATGGACTCTCAACTTGGGCAGCTACTCTTTTTGGTGGGATAATTGGCTTGGTGTTGGACCCCTTGCTCAGTTTTCTGCTGACAGTAACAGATTAAACAATACTACTGTAGCAGAATTTTGGCATGAGGGACAGTGGAATTGGAGTATGCTCATCCAACAGGTACCTAGCTGTCAATTAACCAACATCCTATCCACAGAACTACACATTCAGCAAGATCTCCCAGACCAGGCTATCTGGAAACTCAACACTGATGGCAAATTCAGCTGTTCCTTGACATGGAATGATATAAGGGAGAAGAGGATCAAGACTCGATTCAACTCCTTTATTTGGCACAAGAGTATCCCTTTTAAATCTCCTTTTCTTTTGTGGAGAACCTTAAGAGGTAAAATTCCAACTAACGAGAAACTAACCAGTTTTGGCAGTGAACCAGCCAACTGTTTTTGTTGTTATAACAGGTCAGGTATGGATACCATCGAGCACACCTTCAACAATAGACACTTTACTTCCTACGTGTGGAAAAGCTTTGCTACAACTGCTGGAATCACCACAGACCACAACTCCCTACTCCAACTCATCAGGCAATAGTGGTTAGCTAAATACAATAATGAAGCACATAGGCTATTATTACGGGCTACACCAATATTTATTTGTTGGAACCTATGGAAAAATAGATGTGCTAGGAAATATGGAGGCAAGAAATCCAATGTTAGTAGAGTTAAATATGCAATCTACAAGGACAATTATAAGCTCATGACTACAACCTTCCCCCACATCAGCTGGCCTTCGAACTGGAGGGACCTGATTCAACTTGAGGAAAAATGTGAGCATGATACCAAGGTGACCCTTGTTAGATGGATAAAACCTCCAAATCAGTGGGTAAAGATCAACACAGACGGCAGTGCATTAAGTAATCCCGGCAAAACTGGTGCAAGAGGTATCTTGAGAGATCAAGACGAAGAAATGTAGATAGCATTTGTCACTCCATTAGGGGAAGGTACTAACAACCAAGCTGAAGTAGAAACAGCTATCTTCGGGATGACCTGGTCCTTAGAATTATGATACAACAACGTTCTGTTGGAGGTGGATTCACAACTCCTGGTGGATTGGATAAGGCACAAAACCAACCCTCATTAGAGCATCAATACACAGATAATGAAGCTACAGGCCCTTATTAAACAAACTCACGAGTTCAGATGCAAGCACACCTTTAGGAAAGCCAACTTTGTGGCCGACTCCCTTCCAAAGCACAGCCACAAGATTACTAGTCCTCAACTTTATTTCAATCGCAATCAACTACCAAAACCCTAATATCTAAAGCCTAAACACTAAATTCTAAACTATCAACCCTAAATCAAAACCCTAAACCCTAAATCCTAAACCCTAAACTCTAAACCCTAAACCCTAAACCATAAACCTAAAGCCTAAACTGTAAACCCTAAACCCAAAAACCAAAACCCTAAACCCAAAAACCAAAACCCAAAACACAAAACCATACACCCGAAACCCAAAACCTTATACCCTAAACCCTAAACCATAAATCAGAAACCCTAAACACTAAACTATAAACCCTAAACGCCAAACCTACAACCCAAAATCCAAAACCCTAAAACCTAAACCTTAAACCCAATACCATAAACAGTAAACTCTAAACTCTATGTCGTAAACCATAAACCCTATATGTTAAATCCTCAACCCTAATTCAAACCCTAATCTTTAAACCTTAAACCATGATTCCTAAACTCTAAACCCTAACCCTAAACTTTAAACTTAAACCCTCACCCTAAACCATAAACCCTAACCTAAACCTTAAACTCTAAACCATAAATCATAAACTCTAAACCTTAAACCCTAAAACGTAAACCTTAAACCCTAAACCTTTGCCCTAAGCCCTAAACATAAAATCCCATACCATAAATCCTAAACCCAAACCCGTAAACATTAAACCTTAAACGCTAAACGCTAAACCCTAAACTTGATTCCCTAAACCTTAAACCCTAAACCCTTAACCCTAAACCCTAAACCCTAACCCAAAACCGTGAATCTTAAAGCCTAAACTGAAACCCTAAACCCTATACTTGGAAACCTAAACCTTAAACCCTACACCCAAAACCCAAAACCCTAAACCTTAATGGTTAAACACTAAACCGTAACCCTTAACCATTAATCCTTAACCCTAAACTGAAACACCAAATTCTAAACCCTAAATCCTCAACTCTAAACCCTAAACCCCAAACTCTAAACCCTAAACCCTTAACACTTTAACCATAAACCCTAGGACCTATACCATAAACCACAAACCTTAAACCCTAAACCCTAAACCCTAAGCCCTAAACTATAACCCTAAACCCTCAACCCAAAACACAAAACCTAATCCTAAAACCTAAACCCTAAACCCTAAACTTCGCACCCTAAACTCTAAACCCTAACCCTAATCCATTAATCCTAAACCCTAAACCGTAAATCCTAGACTATAAACCCATAAGCATAAACTCTAAACCCTAAACTATAAACCCTAAACCCTAAGTCCTAAACCCTATACGCCTAAACCGAAAACCCATAACCCAAAACCCTGAAACATAAAACATAAACCCTAAATCATAAACCCTAAACCCTAAACCCTAAAACATAAACCCTAAACCCTAAACCCTAACCCATGAATCATAAACCCTAAACCCTAAGCCCTAAACCATAAACCCAAAACTCTAAAACCTAGACCCTAGACCCTAAAACATAAAACCAAAACCCTAAACCTTAAAACATAAACCCTCAACTCTAAACCATAAACTATAAATCGTAAACCCTAAGCCCTAAACCATTAACACAATTCCTTAAACCCTAAACACTAAACCCTAAATCCTCAACTCTAAACCCTAAACCCTAAACTCTCAACCCTAAACCCTAAACCCTAAACACCTTAACCATAAACCCTAGGCCCTATACCCTATACCCTAAACCATAAACCTTAAACCCTAAACCCTAAACCTTAAATCCTAAAACCTAAACTCTAACCCTAAACCTTAAACTCTAACCCAAAACCCTCATCCCTATAACCTAAACCCTAAACTTTGCATCCTAAACCCTACAACCTAACCCTAATCCATTTATTCTATAGACTAAACCTAAACCCTAAATCCTAGACTCTTAAGCCAAAGACCTAAACTCTAAACCCTAATCCATTTATTTTAAATCCTAAACCTAAACCCTAAACCCAATATCCTAAACTCCAAACCCTAAACCTCTAACCCTAAAGCCAAAACCCTAACCATAATAACCCTAACCGTAAAGCCAAAACCCTAAACCCTTAACACTAAAGCTTAAACCCTAAATCCTAAACCATAAACTTGGAAACCATAACCTTAAATCGTAAACCATAAAACCTAAACTCTAAACCAAAAAACCCTAGAAAACACTAAACTCTAAACGCTAAACCTGATACCCCTCAACCATAGGCCCTAAGCCCTACACCCTACACCATAAACCTTAAACCCTAATCCCTAAAACCAAAACCCTAAACCATAAACTCCAACCCTAAACCCTAAATCCAATACCCAAAAACCCAAAACCCTAGACCCTAAACCCTTAACCCCTAGCACAAAAGTCTAAATTCGAAACTCTAAACCCTAAACATGGAACCCAAAACCTAAAAATATAAACCATAAAACCTAAACTATAAACCCTACAACCTAAACCCTAAACTCTAAACCCTAAACCCGACAAACTAAGCTTGTGTATATGTTCATTCCATACGTGAGATTGCATTAGAGCCTAATGGGAATTTCCTATATAAAGTGTTGCATGACCATGCCCGGTCCGGGGGAAAAGAACCGGACAACCATGTGAGAGGTTTATATCTCACCACCTAGGATGCTTGGGTGTGACCAGCATCAACCATGTGAGAGGTTTATATCTCACCACCTAGGATGCTTGGGGTGTGACCAACATCAACCATGTGAGAGGTTTATATCTCACCACCTAGGATGTTTGGGGTGTGACCAACATCAACCATGTGAGGGGTTTATACCTTGCCACCAGGGTGTCCGGGTGTGAACGGCATTCCCCATCCTAAGTTGGGATTATAGATTGGTTGGATCATGCATGATATCTACTATTAGTATATATTTACTTAAACATGTTTTGACTTCACTTTGATCATGCATCCTCATATTGTTATTCATAATGCCTATGAAACTATTTCTTGTATTTCGATTGTGTCCTTGTCTATTTTTGTGTTGCACCCCGCATACTTAGTACATTCCAAGTACTAACGCATATTTTGCCTACATGATGTCACCATGTAGGGACCGGAGCTACTCTTGATCCTTCTCTCCATTCACGTGGCTAGTACGGTGCTTATCCGAGTTTGTTGGTGAGTCCTCAATGATTCGAGGGCTATGTTATGTTTCCTACTCCTATGTTTTGAGACTTTAGCTTGCAATTGTATTTTGACTATTAGGGGAGCCGGTAGTATGTCATGGCCCCCGTCCTATCTATGTATGTAGAGGTGTGCGTTGAACAAGTATTTTGTAAATGAGCTTGACTCTTGTTCTATGATGTCTTTTTGAAATGGTTTGCCCTTAGTCCCTATTTCCCGTTAATTAATGTTGATTGTACTTCCGCGACTGATGAAGTGTCATGACAAGTTTGAGAGGCTTGTTTGGGGTTCCTTCGGGTTCCTCATTCGCCATGTCACGTCTAGGCCCTAGGCTTGGGTCGTGACAGGTTAGGCCAAAAGGCATCATCATCCACTCATATAATCCAAATTTAGTTTTGAAAGCTATTTTCCATTCATTTCCAGATTTCATTCGAATTTGATGGTATCCACTTCGCATATCTATTTTAGAGAGTAAGGTAGAACCACACAATTCATCTAGCATATCATCAAGTCTAGGAATAGGATATCGATATTTTACCGTAATTCTATTAATGGCACGACAATCTACGCACATTATCCATGAACCATCCCTTTTGGGCACTAGAATCACGGGCACCGCACATGGACTTAAAATTTCTCTTATCAATCCTTTTTCCAAAAGTTCCTCAACTTTTCTTTGCACTTATTTAGTGTCTTGAGGGTTGCTCCTATAAGTGGCTTTGTTGGGTAGTTGAGAACCTGGTACAAAGTCAATTTGATGTTCTATTCCCCTCAAAGGAGGCATTCCACTAGGCATTTCTTCCGGAAATAGATCTTCATAACCTTGCAACAAAGAAGAAACAACACTTGGCAACGATAAAGATGTTAATTCACTATTAGAAAGCAAAGAGTATCCTTTAGGTTTAATAAGTATGACTTGAGTATCATCCTCAATGTTTAGCTCTTTCATGCTCTCTTGATTTTGTAAAATCATGCACATCTTTCCTTTTTCTTTGACCTTTTGGTTTTCTTCTCATCTCTTTTTTGTTGTGATAATTCATTCTTACTTGAGCTCTCAACCTCTCTTTTTCCTTCTTTTGAATTATCATTTTTCACTCCCTTGCTCTCCTCTCTTTTTTTACTTTCAAGTTTTTCTTTCAACTCTCCCATTTTTTGATATTCCTCTCCCACTTGAAAAGGAGAAAGAGGGTTAAGAATGTGCTTTTTACCATCGTTAACAAATGCATATTTATTGGACCTTCCATCATGTTTTACCCCTACATCATATTCCCATGGCCTTACCAACAATAGATGGCAAGCTTACATAGGTACAACATCACAAAGCACTTCAGCATGGTAGCTTCCAATCTTGAGCTTTATCAACACTTTCTTGGTCACATTGAGTTCACCACATTCATTGAGCCATTGCAACCTATAAGGTTTTGGATACTCTCTTGTTGGAAGTTTCAATTGTTCCACCATAGATACACTAGCAATTTGCACAACTTCCACTATCATTGATAAAGAAACATAATTGTTCTTAAACCTTGCACCAATTATTAAAAAAAATTCCCTTTGATCAAGATCTTCCCTTGCTAGAGCACTCATACTCCTC